TATTTGAACCTTAAACCGCAAAAACACATTTCATTACACCAAATACACAAAATAATGTTTTTTTTTAGCAACATCGTATGACCCCTTTAACGTAGCTTTCCGCATGTCAAATCAGGCCCTCTTTGTTTGTGGGGCAAAGTTAAATTATATTAAAAATTGTCAGGTCTAATTCAAGGGTCATTGTATTGGAAAGGTTCGTGCCAGTTCTGTTATTGAGAACGTCGGTGGGAGCTTGTTTGTGATGAAGATATGAGAATCTTTCTCATCCATCTCACAGTCTACATTCAAATGGCCTTTGCAACATTTATATGCAGAATTGATGTCAGCTGATAAAATTAAAATACAAAACTTCTGTTCTCATTAGCTTAGACAGAGGTGTTTTAACATAATCCTAAATATTATCACTGAAAATATTCAAGTGATAAAGTTTGATTTAAAATGATATTGTTTAATCATAAATGTCTAGATGCTAAAAGCAATTTATCTGAATTAAGATGCTATTAATTATTAACTGAATTAACCCTCATGTTGTGCTATTTTGACCCTGAGAGGATTTTCTTTTCCAAAATGCTATCACATTGCACTCAAAATTACTGACTTTGCTCTCACAATGTACACCACCGTCATCAAACAACAAAAAGGATGATTTTTTTAATTAATATTGAATCCAGTATTTAGAAATAATATAGCAAACATTTATAAGCAATTTTTGTAGGCTTGGAACACCAAATTAGATTAAGGATTTTCAGAAAAAAAAAAGGGTTAAAACAGTCCTACTGTATAGAGCTTATCCTAATGTAAGTTTAAAACGTTTTCATTTAAATTGTTTTGCTTCAGTTCTTTTCCTTGGAATGCATGAAAGCGATTGCCCAAACGTATTATAAGTTAGTCGTGGTCTGTGGCGCCACTATCTGGTAATACTGGTCCGTGCTTATTGATTTGTCCAGAATAGGTAGGCTATATTTTTCTCTCTGTTTTATCTGTCCCTACTTTAATTGATTGTTTAATTGTACGTGTATATGTCATACACTAAATATTATTTCCAAAGTTGTGGTGTTTGAATTTTGTCTTCTTTTTTTTCTTCTTTTGATATTTTATGGCGGGCGGTTGGCAAACCAGTTTATGGTGCATATTCCGCCACCTACTGAGATGGAATGTGAGGCACTGATCAAGGTGGAAAAAAAACATATCTCTATTTTATCATACAATTTAGATTTTTTTTTTTTTTCAAGAAATTTATAAGAGCTTTATGTGTTTATTAGAACTATTTAATATATTCTGCAAAGTAAGAGAATTTATGCCAGCAGATTTTAATTCCTCTTTTAATTGAAATCTTTCATTTTCAAATGCCCTACAATTTATCAGCACATGTTCTGCTGTTTCAGGAAGTCCACAATGATTACATTGACCGGATTCATGTTTTCCTATCATTCCTGGAGTGCTTTATTAAGAGCAGAGTGTCTGAAATGCAGTGGTGGACGAAGTACACAAATCAAGTACTTGATATATTATAAGGAGTAACGATATGTTTTATGAAATGTAGTGAAGTAAAAAGTACGATCTTATGCTTTGGAATTTAGTGAAGAAAAAGTAAAAGTTACTCAAAATAAAACTACTCCAGTAAAGTACAGATACTTGAAAAATTTACTTAAGTACAGTAACGAAGTAAAACTACTCCGTTACTGTCCACCACTGCTGAAATGTCACTATCTTTGCAGGCATATAGACGCACGACGTAGTGACATCACGAACAGGCTGGGCTGTCGTTCTGCTGTGTTGCCATGACCGTTTATTTTATGCTTCTTCAGGTTGGTTTTTTTCCCATTTAGTTGCTTATAGATATATTATACACGAATCTTACAATTTCATATGAATACAGTCACGTTTTTAGGATTCGTAGTGTTTTCAAACTACGCGAATGATGTGTAAATGCGTATCAGTATAGGTGTAAGTGCATTGATTTAAATCATTGATTTAGCTGGCTTGTTGTATTATGTTAAACATTTGAACTGTTTTTGCAAAATAATTGAAAATACATTTTAGCTTCAGATAAATGCATTTTAACAGTATTTAGTGTATGTTTTGTTCACGTTTTAAATTAATGATGCAACGTTCATTCTTTATTTTATTTTTCCAGAGAGATCTGGCAACACTGTCGAGAGGTTTCCCTGGTGTTAGCTAAACAACATCACGACCTTTGAAGTGGCTAACCCCGGTCGAATGAATGAAGTCCGGACACAGGTTTTAGCATGTCAAATTTTGCTATGAGTTCCCTGTGCCGTATTTTAACCAGTGGAGTGTATTGCAGCCCGTCGTCGTGTTTATCCGTAAAGGGACTACGGGATTTTTGCAGCGGAGTCTCGACCGCGGACCGCGCTGGCAGTGACAGCGTGCGAGCCGCCAGGTGTTGCACCTTTAATGTTCTGGTCCAAATACTGTTAATTACACTATGCATGTGTGAGAGAGGGTTACTGCATTAAAAAGTTCCTTACTTTGTTTTAAAGTGGATATCTCCGCATTCTGTACCGCATTAGCAAATTAGCCAGTTGTAGGTAGTTTTATTAAGAAAAAAAGGAGCGTAAAAACCGAAGCAAAAATGTTTAATTAAACATATCATGTTCAGTTTTGGCTAATTACATGTGATGGTCACATAAATTAAGTTATACATTTGATAGAGCCCTATTGTTATGATTCTTTAAACAAGGCCATGTGTCTAGTCAACACATATCTTAAAACAAAGTGAATGAAATCATGATCTCTTATGAAAGCAAGCTGTCATAGTTGTCATTGTTTTGATTGTGTGATAGTCTTCATCTTTGTCTGCTTTGCTCTCTCTTAGCCCTGTAAGTTTGACCTACGATGTGTTTGATGGGAAAGGAGACAGCACGCCATTGGTGTTTCTTCATGGCTTATTTGGGAGCAAATCAAACTTTCACTCCATAGCCAAGTCCCTGGTACAGCGGACTGGCAGGAAGGTATGCTTCTGGTTTCTCCAGTGGTTTAGAGTTGCTGTGGGCTTCAGGAGAGTCTGCGAGTGTTCTAACTGTACTTTGTCTAGTTAGGTGCTGACAGTAGATGCTCGCAATCATGGCAAAAGCCCACACAGTCCTGTCTTGACCTACAAAGCAATGACTCACGATCTGACGCATCTGCTTGGACAGCTGCACATTGGGAAGTGTGTCCTAATTGGACACAGCATGGGTGGCAAGGTTGCAATGACAACAGCTTTGTCACAGGTATTAAATGCTGTATAATTTGTTTAGTGCTTGTTTGTATCTTATTAGGCCATCCTATTAGACCAAGGGTCAATGACATGACAATCATGACAATGTATTAATTTATACAGTGACTTGAATAGATCGTTTTTAAATTTATGAATTAAAATTCATTCTGATCTTGTTAAGGGGCATGAAGTCAAAAACTGCATGGTAATACAGTTGTCATCATATCATAATGAAGATAAAAGACTCATTTAAAGGGGTCATATGATGCGATTTCAATTTTTCCTTTCTCTTTGGAGTGTTACAAGCTCTTGCTGCGTAAAGAAGATCTGTAAAGTTGCAAAGACTAAAGTCTCAAATCCAAAGAGATATTCTTTATAAAAGTTAAGAGTCAGCCATGCCTACCTAAAACAGCTTGTTCTAACACGCCCCCACATATCTACGTCACGATGTGGGAAGATTTGCATAACGCCGCCCAAATGTTCACGCAAAGAAAGAAGGCGTAACTTTTATTCTCGCTGTAGTATTGTTTGGCCTTCCAAAAGAGGACAATATCCGCTCACTCAAGCCGCCGGCTCTTTTGGAAGGACACGACTAGAAATCAGTGGTTAAGTTGTATTTACAACACTGTTCCAAAACAGTTCAACCCAAATATTCAGATGTGTGCAGCACATTTTATGGAGGACTGTTTCCTGATCCTGGTAGAGTAGACTACAATGCCGTCTGTTCTGACTCACAGTCTGTAAGGATGTTTTCATTTTAAGGATTTGCCACTGATCTCAGCTTGTAACACTCCAAAGAGAAAGGAAAACTTGAAATCGCATCATATGACCCCTTTAAAAATTAAGCAGTCAAACAGTTGTTAAAATATTATAATTATTGTATTTTTTCTGCCAAATCAAAATCATGTGGTAAATTCAGCTTTACATTATAAAATATAAATATTATTGTTTAAAAAAAAGAAGTTATTATAATATATATATATTATATATGTATATGTATAAGATTTTATTTAATATATACACATGCACATATGCACATATATTTATGTGTCTGTGTGTGTTTTAATTTTTTAATTGATTCGTTTAAGATATGTACAATTACTTGCATTCAGAGGATATGTTTTTACTTTTTTTATTATTTTGTCTATTCAGCCTAGTTTAGTGGAACGTTTGGTGGTTGTGGACATTAGTCCCTCTCTTACTTCAGTCCAGACCAGTTTCTGTGCCTACATTCAGGCAATGAAAGAGGTGAAGATAGCCAGTAATATCCCACGTTCCACAGCACGAAGACTGGCTGAAGACCAGCTCAGGAAGATAGTTAAGGTAACCACATTAACTGGAACAGTTCGAACTTTTATTGATTAATCTGTTTTTTCATTGTTTGTGGTGGTTTTGTCGCAGTTAGATTTAGTTTTATTGCAGTTATTGCACTATAATAAATCATCCACATTTATGTTGTTTGCAGGAGCGTTCAGTGCGTCAGTTCCTCCTCACTAACCTGGAGGAGCAAAATGGTCACTATGGCTGGAGGGTTAACCTGGAAGCCATCTCAAACTACCTTGAGGACATCATAGGTTTTCCTGATTTTAATACCACCTATGAGGGTCCAACTCTTTTCTTGGGTGGCAGTAGTTCAGCCTATATAAGGTAATTTAAACTGCTACTTGTACACATGTGCTAATTGATTCTCTCTATATTACTTGTGAATATTTGAACATTTTAAATGCATGTTTATTTAAGTGTATATCTGTTTTCTTGCTATGGACCCCTTGTTATTCTCTTAGCTCGGAAAATTACCCTGAAATCCAGAGGCTTTTTCCTTGTGCCGATATCCAGTACATCCCAGATGCCAGTCACTGGATTCATGCTGACAAGCCTTTGGATTTCATCAGCTCCATAATAACCTTCTTACACTCTTAGTTCTTGTCTCAGGAGAGGATATGTACAGGTGGGCCCAATAAGAAAAGAACAGTGAATGAATTGTAAGGGTATGGACCAAGATGACTTTTACTGAGTTAAAATGTATCCTTATAATGCACAACTGAATCGTTACATAATTCCTGATAGTTAGTCTATGAATTTTTTTTATGTGGTATTTGCACTGTGGCTTAACATAGTACATTAAATGCGATTCTATCAAGAGGATATGACTTTCAATCAAGGACATTTGTTTGTAGCTCTCAAGTATAACATGTTACATAACAGTGGATCCAGTGGCTTTAAAAAAAAATTACTTTACCTTCATGAAATTGGATTATATTTAGTTATAATTTTAAGCATATTGTTAACATGGACACCCTTTTGCTGTTCTCTGATAAGAAATACAAAGATGTGTATGCAACAGTGTGTGACTTATTTAACTGTTTCAAGCCGAAAGCGTCTCTCACAGACTCCTCTTAAGATCCGATAAGACCACAACACTTTGATGTACAGCCGTGGCTGTGTTTGAATTTGTACTCTTTTTCTGGAAACAGAAAATTAAATTGTTTGTGAAATGTTTTAATTAATGCTATAGGGCATAATAGATTAGCTTTCTTTGTTGTTTAAAAAACTTTTGAGCCTGTGTTGCAAGTTAGGTGTTTTATTCAAAAATTTTGTATGGCTTTACAACAAACAAATTTGCTGCAATGTAACTAAGACAACTTTCAGAGCATCAAGAGTTCTGATGTCAGGTACTACATCTCCGTTATCAAGGATAAATACAACTGTTTTACTAGAAATCTTTCTCTTTTTTGGCCCTGGGTCCATTTCTTTCAAGCCCCTTGTTCTGAGTTTTAAAACTAGTTCAATGTATTTAGTGAATAATCAATAAACAGATCAAATATTTAAGTATATATTTAAATATTTAAATATTGTGATAAAATACCTGTTTTGGTGCTTGTTCGACTATTAGATGCCGCACAATTTAACTTTTTATAACGTACAGGCAGAGGTGGACGAAGTACACAAATCAAGTACTTGAGTAAAAGTACAGATCCGTATAATAAAATATTACTCCAGTAAAAGTAAAAGTACTCAGTTTTCAATTTTACTCAAGTGAAAGTACAAAAGTACTTGATTTTTTATGTACTTAAGTAAAAAGTACCGATAGATTAATGTTTATTTTGCAGTTTTATATAGGCTACTTTTATCATTTAATTTTATATTAGCATATATTTTTTTATAATCCTTCTGCTCAAAATACCTGGGATTTTCCCAAAATAACCAATAAGAAAATAATGAATATAATAAGGAAAATATAATTATATTTTCATTATGATTTTTTTCTTCTCAAACCTTGTCTGTGGTGTAAAAACACCCCTGGCCAAATGCCCCCAGAGGGCATCACTTACCACTTTGATAATTACTGTAGTTACCATGTTCTGAACATCACATCCTTCCTTTTTCTCTCATATGTAATCAACTAGGTGGTTGAATTATAATATTTGGACTTTATTTAAAAAAAAAATTACCTCAATTTAGCACCAGCAAGCTCGTTAGCTAGACAGTTAGCATCAGCTAACATTA